ATTTATTTGGAGAATATTATATTATAAGATGCAATATTCAATAAAAGTTTATAATACGCAAGAAAATTGTACAATGTTCAATAAAAGTTTTATAATATTCAAGTGGAGTCTTAAAGTCTCTTGTACATTAAGACTACTGACAAAATAATATTTTGATTAGAGTTTCCTTTCCTTGTAGCTAAATTGTGAATGTGATTTGAGGAGTACAACAAATCGATATATAGCTGACTTGCTTTTTTCATTGTAGTTTTTTTCTTTTTTTTTTTATAATGAATTTATAGATATTCTAAAATATAGCAAAAATTAATTTTTTTTATTATAATTAGGAATTTTACTAAATATAAACTCTCAATCTATGGTGTTAAGTAACGTTTAAGTCTAAAAAATTAGGAATTTTTACCTCTTTTAATCAACGTTTAAGTATAAAAAACAATAGAGTTATTATAAGTTTTTTTCTACATCTTTTAAAACATTAAATATGAGCATGTTAGGGCTAGCTTGTAAAATAATTAATATATTGTCTCACTAAAACATTTATACTAATAAAAATTTAATTTTAGCATATAAATTTATCGCTTGATATAAGAGAAAGTAACAGTTTTACTTATTGTTGTTCACCATATAATATTTAATTATTATTTTATTATATAATAAAAAAAGAATATTGTTAAATAGTGTAGTAGAATTGTTATGAAATTATATGATTTTTTTTTTTTTTACAATATGGATTTAATATTTTTTTTATGATTTTATAATATAATCAAATCTATACTTAATTTTGACAAATAAGAATAGGAATATATTTTGGTATAATCAAATAGGAATATATTTTGGTATAATCAAATACCAAATATAATCAAATAAGTCAAAGTGTACAAATTTATTTGGTATTTGATTTTTTTATTATTAAAATCTTTTTATTATACTTACTTTTTTAAAATAAAACAAATAAATAAATCAATTAAATAAATAAAATATTATAATACCAAAATAGTAATGGCATTTAATGTAGTTGACTTTTCTGGATAGTAAATGTAGTAAATAGAATGTCTTTTAATATAGGCTTAATGGCGGGAAAATACACGACCTTTACGTGTTTGGCCATTTAATCACCACCTTTAGACCTTGGCAAATAAATACATGACCTTTACATTTTTGGCAACTCGATACATGGTTTTAACTGCCGTTATCTTTCGTTAACGGAAATCCTACGTGGCTTTTGACACACCAAATGGACATCCAAGTCAGCGCCCAGGTGGCAAATCGTGCACATGTGGCAGAATTGCAAAAAATTGCAAAAGTAATGCAAGAAGAGGAGTTGAACCTTGTACCTCTAGTATATAAGAAAGGCTTATGAGCCACTTGATCCAACCCAACTTATGTTAAGTATGGGACTTCATTTATATATATACCAACATCATTTTATCTATATTGTATAAAATTTATATAACTTTCAATTATAGTACTTATAAATAATTTATTCATTAAATATATACTAATTATGAAATAAAAATAAGTAAACTAAATAAATAAATAATATTACATTCTTGTTTAATCAAACTTTTATTCTCATTAATGTTATTTTTATATTAATTCACTTGATTTAAATTTAATTATTTTTATATATTAAATAATTATTTACTAAATGAATAAATATATTAAATATATATTATATAAATAAAGATATTAAATAATACAATATTATTTATTTATAAAAATAATAAATAATAAAATAAATACTAAATATAGTAAATAAATAAATAATACAATAAATTAAAATTAAATAAAATATATAATTAAAAACTAAATAACATATAATATTTTTTATTTATTTTGTTTTAGTTCATAATTTAATATGTTAAATAAAATAAAATTTAATATATTTATTTCATAAAATTTAATTAATTTGATAGATTATTTATTTAATATAATATATGATATTTAATATTTTATTTATTTATTTAATAAAAATTAATTTATTTAATATATTGTTTATTTAATATAATATTACTTTATTTAATATATTAAATTACGAACTAAATATAATTTATTTATTTAATAATATTTATAAATATAATAAAATATAATTTTTTTAATATATTATTTATTTAATATAATATATAATGTTTATGTTATTTATTATATTAAATTACGATAAAAAACTAAATAAAAAATATTATTCATTATTTTAGTTTTTAAAATAAAATAATATTTATTTTATTTAATATATTATTTATTTAATAATATTTAATTTATTTAATATATACTATTTACTTTATTTAACATATTAAATTACGAACTAAAACTAAATAAGTAAAAATATAATTTATTTATTTAATAATATTTCATATTTAAAATAATATTTATTTATTTAATAAAAATTTATTTATTTAATATATTATTTATTTATTATAATATATAATATTTAACAAATAAATTTGTATATATTTAATAAATAAATTATTTATATGTATTATAATTAAAAGTTGCATAAATTTATATAATATAGATAAAATGATGTTGGTATATATATAAATGAAGTCCCATACTTAACATAAGCTGGGTTGGATCAAGTGGCTCATAAGCCTATCTTATATACTAGAGGTACAAGGTTCAATTCCCCTTCTTGCATTATTTTTGCAAATTTTTACAATTCTGCCACATGTGCACGATTTGCCACCTGGGCGCTGACTCGGATGTCCATTTGGTGTGTCAAAAGCCACGTAGGATTTCTGTTAACGGAAGATAACGGCAGTTAAAACCATGTATCGGGTTGCCAAAAATGTAAAGGTCATGTATTTATTTGCCAAGGTCTAAAGGTGGTGATTAAATGGCCAAACACGTAAAGGTCGTGTATTTTCCCGCCATTAAGCCTTTAATATAAGTATAGATCGTATAATACGGAAATAGTAATGCAATAAATGCTGTTAACTTTTCTGGTTACTTAATTTGGTAAATAAGACTCCTTTTAATATAAGTATAGATGTCGTTATAGTTTAAAATTTCTAAATTACTATTTGTATGAGTTGTGTAATTATCTTATATACTAATTCTTTTAAATTGTTATAGATAATTACTCTCTCTATTTCTATTTGGATAAACATAAAACTATTAGGCCGTGACACTTCAGTTTCATCTTCCATTTCTCAAATAATTTTCATTCCATTTCTCCAATAATTTTCACTTTCTGTCTTCATACTTTCTAATTCTTTGTCGTTCTGTCTTCATAATCACATTTTCATATGTCATTGAATTTTTTTATTTCTTCTTTCAACACTCCATTCATGATGTATTTTGAATCATCACAATTGATCAGACTTTTACCCTCTACATATAAATAATTTAAGAAAAGATGAAAAAATATTGAAAAGAAAAAAGGTGGGAAAATAAAATTTCTAAAATTCATTTTGAGAATCGTAGAATGAAAATTGAAAAGTTTATTTGTGAGTGGGAATTGTAGAATGAAACTACAAAAAACTAGACTGAGAAACACAAAATTCGCGAGATAAACAAAAGAGAAAAAAGTTCTTAAAGATAATGATAAGGGAGTAAGGTTTTTTGGTGATTCTGCTAAGATTTTTTAAAGAAGATAAACTTAAAAGAATGAATAAAATATTTCTAATGACAACTAATTTACAAAAAAAATGACAACCTAACGACATCTAAAAAGAAACAGAGAGAATAATATTTAATATATTTAAATAATTTATACTTTTATTATGAAATTATATGTATGAATATACAATAATAATAAATAACAAATTAATAATTAATTTAAAATGGCTCCTGGATTTTTACATTAAATTTATCAAAAATAATATTTTAAATTTTTCTATGTGTATGAAATGTTAACCCACAATAAAACTGCAACACGACATTACTAGTAATACACCTTTGACAGAGATATCCCGTCGTAATGGGAGGGTTGCTAGGCAGCCACATATATTCGTGACTATAAGAGAGTCTTTGGACTCAGTCTCTTAAGCATGAAACTATAAGTTCATGCCCTTGAAAAAGTCTTTTCATTTAGTCTCTAGTGAGACTGAAACTGATCCCATGTAATATGATGAGGTGCTCATTGTAGTGGGAGCGTTACAAAGTGACTGTCATAAATTCATGATTGATGAGAAAGTGTCATAAATTCATGATTGATGAGAAAGTATTTGGACCCAGTCTCTGGTAAGCGCGAAACTATGAGTTTATGCTTTTTAAAAAGTCTTTGGACTTAGTCCCTATGAATGTGAAATTAATCTCTTGTTTATACGATGAGATGCTTCGAGACGATGATGCAAGACCATAGAAAGCAACAATAATTTATGATTTAGTGTCTTAGATGATTTCGCATCATGTAGAACCACCAATTGGCCTAAAAGCCATTGAGCGTAATGGATCTACAAGTACAATCGTGTAAACTAAACACCAAAGTAAGGCTTGTTGTAATTGAAAACGTGGTGACCTTGTAATTTCATTTGGGTCACCTCTCCAAAGGCACATTGTAATACTTTTGTCAATTAATACCATGGAGTTTCCATTCAATTCCGGTTTTTTTTTTTTTTCCCCTAAGTCAATTCCGGTCTTATTGTCGTTATAAGTGCCAGCGTGATTTCATGGCAACAACACAAGCTCTCTTGTGAGTACGACGTACATAGTCGATATAGTCGACTATCAACCGCACACAGCGCAATTCTAAATTGATTGCAATTTGCAAGCGCCCGTGATACACAATTACTGCCTTCCCTTGTTTCCCCCACCTACATCGCCGTGGTCTGGCTGCACTAAAGATATGTTTACGCTACACTCCAAAACTACAAATATTTTGCATGTGTGAGATTCTTACCTGGATTTTATTTCCCTCTCTCTGCCGTGCTACCTAGTTATTTGAATTATTTGCGTTATCTGATCAAAGAGCATTTACGAAAACAGAAACGCCATACATAAACCCTTTTTATTGTATAGGTACACAACCCAAATGTTGAACAAATTCTCAACACAAATCATACATGAAACCCCGCAGCCACGAAATAAGACAGGACAAACATCACGAAAGGTCTTCTGCCCTTAGTTCAAATGGCACAACAAACAATACAGAAAAATCAATCAACCATCCTTTTATTCCTCACTCCCCCAAATCCACCCAAAACACACAGCACCCACCCACCCATCTTCACTTAACCGTACCAATCTTGATAACAGACGCAGCCCCAATCCGATGAAGAACCACAACAGCATCACCAACCCCACACAGCCCTTTCCCCTTGGCGTGCTCCAGCGCAAACACCAGCGCCTCCTCAGTCGACTCCTCACGGGAAGCTCTCGTGGACCCCGCACACAGTATCGGAACCAAACCCCTGAAAATAAGACTATGCCTCGCCGGCGACTCGTCGCTACACGACCAATCAAACGAGTCCGTCTTAATCTCAGGGACCACCACAGACAGTATCGGCATTCCAGGACGGTACTTCGCCACCAGCTTAGCCGTGCTCCCTCCTCTCGTCAACACCAATATAAGCGCAGCCCCAGAAGAATTAGCTGTCCTAACGGCAGACGAGGCCAGGCTCTCGAGCGGGCTCATGGGGACCGGCGCGTTCACGGTTATCCGTTTGAACACGTCTCCGTAGTCGATGGTGCCCTCGGCCTCGATGCATATTTTGGCCATGGTGCGGACGGCGAGGTCTGGGTAGGCTCCGGCGGCCGTTTCGCCGCTCAGCATTACGCAGTCTGTCCCGTCGAGAACGGCGTTGGCCACGTCGGTGGCCTCTGCGCGGGTTGGCCGCGGGGATTTTATCATGGACTCGAGCATCTGTGTGGCTGTGACGACTGGCTTGCCTTGGATGTTGCATTTGTAGATCATGACTTTCTGGGCGAGGAATATCTTCTCGATGGGGATTTCCATCCCTAGGTCGCCTCTGGCCACCATGAAGGCGTCCGAGTTGGCGAGGATGTCGTCGAAGTTTGCCACCCCTTCTTGATTTTCGACCTGACACATTGTAAGTGGGGGTGAAAATTGAAGAAAAATGTACATAAAGGTGTACATAACACTCACATGGAGTGGGCTCCACTTGATTTTTTATTTTTGGTAGGACCCACTTGATGTGAGTGTTATGTACAACTCTATATGGACAGTATTATGTACTTGTAGCATTTCTCAAAATTGAAAAGGGATTAGGCTTTTGCATCTGGAGTAGAGTGACACAATGTACAAGGAATAGCTGTAACGAAATTGGTAAACAACGATAGGTTGCTTTCGTAATTTTGCTGAAAGGTTAGTTATTGGGATGATAAACAAAACATGTTCTGAGTCCTGACTTCTGATCAGGAGTACTAAACTAAACAAGTTCCAACCTGTTAGCAACCAAATCTGGATATTTCTTAAGACAAACTTTGGTATATCAACAAAATTTCATTTCAATGATACAGACATCAGACGACTCAATGATTTAAGAAGTGTGAACACCGAAAATCCCAGCGTGATCTTATTTGTTGAGTTTTTAAAAGTTATGTTTGGTTTCAAGACAGTCGGTTCATTCGGTAGAGGAAAAAACTACCACTGACCTTAGACATGAGAAGGATGTTCTTGGCATGTTCACCCAGCAACTTGCGGACCTCCACCAAGTCAGAACCTTTGCGAACAAAAGAAAGAGCAATCATGTCAATGTTATTCGGGACCCCCCATTTCAAGATATCTTCCTTGTCTTTCTCAGTCAGAGTTGGAAGATCCACGATGACCCCAGGAAGGTTGACATTCTTTCTCTCGCCTAAGACTGCAGTGTTCTCACAGCGGCACTGTACCAAGCCTTGTTCTTTGTCACAAGACAAAACAGAGAATGATATTGTACCATCAGCACAGAGTATCACACTTCCAGGCTTCACGTCCTCAGCCAGCTTTTTGTAGCTCATGCAGATCATCTTCTCATCACCCTTGATGCTGTAGTCGGTGGATATTGTAATCTCTTGGCCCTGTTTCAGTTGAACAGGCTTGCCATCTTTCAAGAAGCCAGTTCGGATTTCCGGGCCCTGTAGCAAGTATGTAAGAGTCAAATGACCATTCAGGCCTATTATACAAACTGTGATGCTATTAAAGGCAAAGAGCAGACAAAGGAAGGCTAGTAGCTATAGCTCACATACCAATTAGGCCAGTCCAAGGAGTAAGGGAACACAATCTTTCCGAATAATGAGATCTTAATTTCAAATATTAGGCAGAACTATAAATGCATTGTTGAGTTCATTTTGATACCAGATAAGGTTCAATAATGGAAACTTGTACAATTATGATTAAGTCAAAATTGACAATGTTAGCTGGGGTTTTGCCCGCTCCAAGCTGTTAAATTTCTAAAATTAGTATAGGCAAGTTGGGGAAAACTGAATGTAGAAAGCATCAAGAAAATAAATTGGATAATATTAACATTTACAAAGTCAAAGAAAGAAGAAAGGTCGATATGGATCAATGCAACAAGGGAAGCAGAAAAAAGGGAGGGCGAAGAAGCTGAAAACACATAATCAAGCAGAATTATGATAAATAAGATGGAATCAGTGAAGGGAAACCAAAATCGAAACAGAAAAGAAGATTGTGTTCGCAAGTTAGCAGAGAGAGAGAGAGAGAGAGAGAGAGAGAGAGAGAGCGAGAGAGAGGCCTTGGTGTCGAGCATGACGGCGCAGAGGATGCCGGTGTTCTCCATGGCCGTGCGGAGGTTATCGAGAGTCTCCTGATGGTACTCATGCGATCCGTGTGAGAAGTTGAATCGGGCCACGTTCATCCCGGCCCGAAGTAGCTTCTCCACCATGGGCACGGACCGGGACGCTGGCCCCAGCGTGCACACGATCTTCGTCTTGGGCCGCCTTTCAACTGCATCTCCATTGCGAACGTTCTTCTCCATTGCAGATTGCTGGATCTGAATGGGAAAAAAGGAATAATAAATATCTCTCTTTCTTAGATTGAAAACAAAGGAATATATCAACACCACTCGCAGAACCAACTCAATTTTCTCTCTCTCTCTCTCTCTCACATACACACACTTCACTCGG